AAGGCACCAAACCCCCAACTGCTCCCCGGGCGCCGCAGCAAAAAAATGGCTGCCCACTGCTCCGTGTGTGTGTGTTCACTGCTGTGTGTGCGCACTTTGGATGGGATAAATGCAGAGCACTAATTCCGAGTATGGGTCACCATACTTGGCCACATGTCACTTCACTAATAGGTCTGGTAGATGTTTTACTAGCTAATTACAGGAATAAAAAATTGATGGGCTTTACATTTATTGTAATTAATTGCATTTTTAATTCAATATTTTCTGTCTCACGTCTTAATGATTTAAAGATATTCTACATGTTTCTTTCTCAGTTTAACCCATCGATGGCCATACAGCCTGACTCCCCTCATTTCAATAAATCTCCTGGCTTGAAGGACCGGATTCACTGTGTGGTGTATGTGATTGACACCTGCAAAGTCAAGCTCCTCTCTGACAAAATGATTAACAAGTTTGCAGTTTTTCGAAGGAAAACCAACCAGCTGGGTAAGGGATTAACAGCAATGAAGCAGATTTGAATGAATGAAATTAATAAAGTGACATGAGTGTATTGTGTCAATTAAATTATGGAAATTCAATTTACAGGGCAACCTGAAGTTAAAGGGATAGTCCACCCAAAATTCTGTCATCATTTAGTCACCCTTATGCCATTCCATACCTGTTTGACTTTCTTTCTTCTGTGGAACGCAAACAAAGATATTTGGAAGAATACTGGTAACTAAACCATTTCAGCTCCCATTGTCTTCCAGTGTAGACAACAACAACAAAAATGTTTGGTTATCAACAGTTTTCAAAATATCATCTTTTGTGTTCAGCAGAAGAAAGAACTGCTTACAGGTTTGGAATGACATAAGTAAAGATTTTTAATTTTTAGATGGACTGTCCCTTTAAGTCCCTTCCTCAAGAGCACCTCTTGTGGGTTTTGAGTGTACTATTAGCATAAATATTTAACCACTAGGGTTACATCACCCACAGGATAGCAATCTCTGGGATTTGATATACAGTAAGGTGTTGTTCTGTACTTCAGGTATTCCTCAGCTGGTTCTGCTGACTAAGGTGGACGAGGCCTGCCCCTTAGTGGCGGAAGACCTGAAAAATGTCTACCAGAGCCACTATATCAACAAAATGGTACAAATTAATACATGACTTAGTCAATATTCTGTACTATTTTGTTTCACATATTGTTCTTGAGTATTTCTGATTAACTGTTTTTTTGACAGATGCAGGAGGTTAGCGCTCAGCTTGGAGTTTCTCTGTCTGCTGTGGTCCCAGTGAAAAACTACTGCCAAGAACTGGAAATAGACTCTCAAACAGACATTCTGCTTCTAAATGCTGTGGTTCAGATGCTCAGAGCCACTGAGGGCTTTTTTGATGATCTTTACAATGCAGAAGAGTAGAGCTTAGCCTTATTTCCCTGTCTGACCTAAAGGTTATGAATGTATATATTAGCATCGTTTTTCTCTCTGTTTACACTGTTTTAGGTGACATGTTCATCTCTATTTATGTATGAGGTCTGTTGATTTTTTTCTGTTGCTCTGCTCTGAACATGCAAACTATTTGTAATCCAAAACATGTAACCAGATGGCTAATATATTCAAAGCTTTATTGTCAGTTTGAGTGAACAATTAACGGTTCTGAATTAAAATAAAGGCCCTATTGCAGTTACGTTGATAATTGTCCTTACTTCATTACGTTTATTTGTTGTAAAATATAATGAAAGAAATGCATTCACATTGTACAGTACCAACAGTGGACCATAAAATCATTAGAAGACAACTATTACCTTATATTATTACCTTAAAAATTGTACCTGATCTAACCCTCAAAAATATTTTATTGATGTAACCTAGTTAAGTGGAACTTAAATCAATAAGAAACTAGTTCACTTAGATGTTACCACATCAAGCACAATTTGTAGGTTAACTGGCAAAACACTTATTACAGTGATGATTTTTGTAATACATTATGCTTGTAATACAAAAATTTCATATAGTCTTCATGTGAGATTGCCTTAAAAGCAACTGATCTGTTGCACTCATCTCTAGAAGGGCAGGTATTGCTTCCTGTCACCCATTCTTTGAGAATCCTCTCATTCCCAGTGTTTGCAACCATACGGATCTATAATGTCCGCTTGTTTGAGGGAATAGCATTCTTGTCATTTGTGAGACTCATTTCAGGAGTGCTCTTATTAAATACATTTCTTCTCCACCAGTATGCTTAACCTTTTCATACTTTGGCTGCTCTCCCTTCTCAATGGGCCCAGGAGAGCCTTCTGGTGACCCAGCTGGAGTGGGGGTTATGAGCGGGGCTCCAGGCAGGATCTGTTTGAGATGAGTTCTGATGGCCGCTGGCAGCTGTCCTGAAAGAGCCCAGAGTTTTTCTGAGCCATGTGTTTTTAGCAGCCTGAAGTTCAGTCGTCAGAACTGCGTTTTGGTGTTCCAACTCCTTAAGAAATCAAGATGACAGACAAATGATGAAAAAATGAAATACATTTTGTAGTGTAAATCTAAAGTCATTGATAAGACACATTAATAACACATAAGCTTCAATTCATTAAAGGTGCAGTCAGCGATTTGTATGGTGACTGAGAAGTGCAAAGCAAATCACAATTCTTAAAACAAAATAAATTACAAACGCAAATGCAAGTCTAAAAAACAAAATAACAATTCAGAAAACACAACAACAATTCAGAAAACATTATAACAAGTCAGAAAACACAATGACAAATTCGAAAACAAAATAACAAGTCAGAAAACACAATGTAGCGTCTGGACCAATCAAACACACAATATATATTTTGTTAGCTATATTTAACAGAATTGCCCTTACTATGGAATAAAAAATACGGGGTGTTTATTTACATTCAGTTAAAAGTGATTGTGACTCATCAATTCCAGTGGCGCAGATGGCAAAGTGCGTGTTGTTGGCTTTTTGACGCGATCGACCGGGGTTCGATCCCATCTTTTGCCGAACTTTTTTTTCCTCCCTTTTCAAATCTCGTATTAGCAATGGATTCGGATCGAACCCGGGTCGATCGCGTCAAAAAGCCAATGATGCACACTTATCCATCTGCACCACTAGAGCTGATATTTTACAGCCACTTTTAACTAAATGTAAATATACACTCAGATGTCTCGTCCAGTCAGCGGTGAGTAATCCCAAACCAATGGCGCTGTCTCAAACTATACCTACCTCTTCCGGTTTGTCTGATTTGTCGTTGTGTTTTCTGACTTGTTAATTTGTTTTCGGATTTGTCGTTGTGTTTTCTGACTTGTGATA